CAGAGCCCAGAGAAGCCTTGCAAATTGAATATAGACTTCACCTGTGAGCAGCATGAAAAAATCAACTGAAACTAGTGCATCATTGCAAGTCACATTCATTGTTGTTCCAGGTGTTTCTCTCACCACGGTGCAAACCAGCATTCAGAATGCAATTACGCCTCTTTCAAATCAAGAATTTAGCAACTTCTGGCTTAAAAAAAAAAAAAAGAAAAGAAAAAGAAAAAGAACTCAGAGGAAAGTGATTTATACTGAAAGTTTTATTTTAGTTAGAAAAAAAAATTAAAATGGATGGGATGAAATCACACAGCCAAGGACTTTTATCAGCAAGGACTTCCTTTCGCCTAAAAATCTGATAAGATCTGAGGAGAAATAATTCCTAAGCAAGAAATCCGCACTTTGTTGGTTTCCCTAACAATTTGTGCTCCCCCAATCACCGCACTGTGCTAGGTTGGTGGTGTGATACAGCAAAAAAGATGTGGGATTTTTATTTTTTTTAAAATTTTTTTTTACTTTTTGGTCAGTTAGATTTGTATTTCTATCTCCACATTTCTTTTCTGGGTATATTAGTCAACTTTCTGCCACTGTGATAAATACCTGGGAAAATATTTTAAAGAAGATTTAATTTTGTTTATGGTTTCAGAGGTTTCACATCATATTGGCTGACACCATTGTTTAGGGCATGAGAAGAAGCAGAACATCCTGGAGGAAGGGTGTGGTGGAGGAAAACTACTCAGCTCATGGCAGCCAGGAAGCAGAGAGAGGAAGGAACTGGAGCAAGATATACCCTTCAAAGCCTCCTCTCCAGTGACCTACTTCCTCCTTCAGGCTCATTCAGCTATCAGAACCCTCAAGATCCAGGCTGTTCCCTGAAGCCCCACATCTGCACATTGCTGCACTGGGGATAAAGCCTTTAACACACATGAGTCTTGGGGGAACACGTCACAGTCAACTGTAACACTGGAAAGCTAAGGATAAATTAACTTGTGCTCTTCTTTTGGAAAGCATTTCTTACTTTAGAATTAATTTTCTTTCTTTCTTTTTAAAACATATACAAAATAATCAGTTTATACTCTGATAAAGAGTAACATAAACAGCAGGTCTTTGCCCTCTGCCTTTTCTTTCCTGCCTCCTAGAAATCTGTACACAGAGAGACCAGCTCTGTAAACCAGTAAATGGCTTGTGCTTTATAATGCCACAGGAAACTCTTGAGATATTTCCCAAGGACTGTTTTGCACCTGAGTCCCTCAAGCCAAAGTACATCCAGCCTTAGAATGTTGAGGCCTTCTATAACTATTTCCATGTATGAGGCTATAGAATACAAACCAAAGAGCAGAGTTTGCTAATCACAATATATGTATACATAAATATGAAAATTGGTATGGGTCACAACTGAAATTCTCAGGAGTACCTAGGCCTCCTGAAAAGAAAAATGGATTATCACATTTCTGAATATACAGAAGAATCATGTTAGGTACCTGAGCTAATTACATTAAAAAAAATGCCACCTGAGGCTAATTCAAGTGTTTTCAGATCAGCAGTCAGTGCAACAGCTTTAATCTCACCAACTGATGATCAGGGGAACTTTAGAGAAAGGGAAAGGCCTTTCTTTGGCCATAGGCTGTGCAAGCCTTCTTTGGGTGATCTGGTTTCCGTAGCACTAGGATAAAGCATAGCATAAGCAGATATGACTTTGAGAACCACATGAATTGTAATGGTAGTCCATATATAACTCTGAAGCCTCTGGACTTGGTAAGGCTTATAAGGATGGTAGTCAAGTAATTTTGAGTGAAATATCTTAGTGTTCAGGGAGTGAAGGGCTACAGCTGCACTGATTCGTCCTGCATTGCATTTCTGAGACAGTTATTGGGCTGCTTTCAGCACCTTCTGTGTTCTGCATGATGATGGTGGGACCTGGAACCTGCAAATTTCATGTGAGCAGGAGAGATACTGCAAGGCTAGAGGAAGAATAGACGTTATTTAATTCCTATGGGTTCCTTTTCACTTTCTGCTCTTGTGATCCTTACCCATTAGTGCCTCTTCACTCTGGTACCTACAGATGGTTCACATAGCAGCCATTGGATCTTGTTTGCAGTTTGTCCAACACTCACAAACACAGGCTCAGTAAGCCCTCTCAAAGACATCTAGACCAGCTATCTGGCTTTACCTCATCAGAGCCTGGGATTAGGCCCAGAGAGCCTCTCGTGATAATCCACAGGTAAGCACCAGCTGTACAATAGTCCCTCACACCCAGTGTTTTGAATTTTGGTTCCATGGAGCCCCTTCTCCAGGCCTTAATGTGTCTATCCTCTTGCATTTAGTCCCCAGTCCAATCACAGTAGCTGCTTCCAGCAGTTACTACCTTAACATTCTCATTTTCCTCTTTAGTTATGCAGTAAACTTGATATCTCATTCACAATCTTTATTATAAGTTATTTCTATTAAAATTGCTAGTGTGAGTTCTATCTCCCTTAACAGCTATTGAAATTGACACCCCAAAACAGATCTTTCAAAACCAGATATTTTGGAATGTCCTTGAGTTTGAATGCAAAGCTGAGCTCTTTGAAAACAGGAAATGGGATGCTAGTAATGCATGGGAGGCAGAGGCATCACAATTAATCGAATTGTCACCTGCACTTAATGGTGATGATGTGCCTTCTTAATATTCTACCTCTTGTTGGAACTCTAGATGATAGAGTTCAATGTGCTTGTTTGTTTATTTGTTTTTGGTGTTTGTGGGATAGAAAATTGTAACTATATTTGAATTTATTTAGTTAATAGAATAAAAACCAAAGCTCTTCCCTTGGCCTTTACTAGTATCTGGTAACTCCTGATTGTTACCTAGTATGTCCGACCCCACATTGCTTCTGAACCTCCAGCAGTATTTCTTCTGACCCTCACAGGAAGAAACTCTATAGTTTTTGCCATACTGATTCAATCCAGTTGGAATACTCTATACCTGATCTTTATATGGCCTAATTCTTCTCATACTTAGGATGTAGATCAAATGCCTCTTTACTGAAAACTCCTTCCCTGACAAGAAAATGAAAAACAAAACAGCACAACAGAAATGCACTAAGCACTATGCCTATCTGGGAAAGGTGGTCAGCACCTTTATTCTTAATTATCACTTAAATTGAACAGGAAAAAAATATTAAAATTATAATAATAATATTTTAATATAGTTAAGAGAACATATGATTGCATATTTTAAGTAATCAGAATTCAGATACTTAGTTTCAGATGGGCCCTTTCACTTTATTTATTTATTTATCTGCCTATCTATCTATTTATTTATTTATCATTTCTTGCAAATAGAAACATGGGGCAGGGGCAAAGAACAGATAACCATTATAAAATCAATGCAACTAAGAGATCTTTATCAACTCTGCTGATTTTTGCCATGATCTTTCTTCCAGAACAGAATTGTCCTCATTACATATACAAATCTATAGAATTAAAGTCAGTTGTAATGCTGAGAGTTACACAATTTCAAAAATAAGTTGAAAAATTATGACGAAATAATATATAAGAAAATATGGAAAAACGTAGTTATTTGTGCAAAGTTGAAAGAGATCTTTAAAATGGTAATTAACAACAACAACAACAAAAAAAAAAAAACCACAAGGAATTAACTACCCCTACTTATAACAAGACAGGTACAGGAACACAGATGAATTTCTGGAAGTTGCTTTAATATTAATATGAGAATTGGACCATTATTGGATTAATAGTAATGGGAGAGAGCATGGACTTTTAAGTTACAGGATCTTCTGGCCCCTTGGTTCTGGAAGCTCTCAGCACTCCCCAGAAGTCTTTGGCAGCCCTTATCGATATTCATCACACAGCAAATATCACAATGGTTGAGAATAATTGGATCCTGAAACTGACACAGCTGGAGAAAGCTGGGAGCAACAAAATCAGGGTGAAACAAAGAAGGTTGGCAATTAGAGAAGGAAAACACAGCTCCCTTGGCAAGTGCTAGTCAGATGATACATGGGAAAAGAGTCCCTGCTCATTCACTAAACCCAACTGCTTAGCCAGGCAGCCTTGTATTCTTCCAAAAGCCAGAATGGAATTCAGGGTGAGAAGTTTTTTTTTTTTTCCTCCCCTCCTTTCTGGAAGATTTTTAGGGCATAAGACTGTGGTTTGCTTTTCCTGCATTGCCTACTGTCCAACTAGGCATAACTCAGAGATGTTATATAAACAGATGTTAAAACTCACTAGCATGCATTTTTTTTCTACATTGGGAGTGTAAATCATTTCAGTGGCATGTATTAAAATGTCCATAGATCAGTGGAAATGCCCACCTTACTACTCCACTGGCCATTCATTAGCACCACACAAGGAGACATGTGATATGCTTTATAACCAAATTATCTCAAACCAACCTATATGCTCCATGTGGACTACTTTGCTTGAGAATGTGGTGATAAGTCAGTTATTTTTGCACATTGATATGGAACAGATTTAAACCAAAGACTTCATTCCAGATAGTGTGATTAAATTGGATTAGAATCAGATTAAAAACTGACTTCTGAGAGAAAAATCCCCTGAGTAAAAAGAGACAGCAGATATACTAAGTGTTCATAAAATAGGAAAGATTCTATCTCTATTATGCTTATTTCTTTCTCGCAACATGCTATCCTGTTAACCATTCAAAACATATTTTCAAGAGAGGAAACATCTATAGGAAAGGCACAGAAAGACAAGAGTAAAGAAGATTTTGATGGTCTCTGATTCACTATCTCTGTCTCATGTTTTCTCTTGTTCTCTAAACCTGGTATATTTGAGTTTTCAAAGGAATTAGAGAATTGAAAATTTAGAAACACTTAGGTCAATCAGATTTCTTCCTGAGGTTTGAGGACGGATCTTCCTATTCATCCCAAAGAGGAGTGCCAGATCAGATATTTTTAAGTTCATAATCCAAACAATAGAATAATTAGATTAACACTACAATATTCTTTCTCATTTAAATATTGATCATGACAGGGGGACTCTACCTGCAGACAGATCTGTGTGGAGGAGCACCAAAGCGCAGAACCGGCTTATCTTCAGGAAATGAATAGCATAAAAACTAATGGGAGAGTAGCTGCAGTTTGTGCTCACAGCAGGAGAGCTCATTCCTGTTCATAAACCACTTTCTGGAACATTCTATTAATTGAGACTTATAAGAGCATTTTGAAGTAGGTATAATATCATTTCAATTTTATCAATTATTAACTGAATTCCAAGAAGTGAAGTAATTTGCCAAAGGTCACATAACTAGTGATCAATGAAGAATTAGAATACACCTTTGCTGAAAATCAATTCAGTTCTCTCTGAAACAGCTATTCTCTCTTCTAACTTTAAACCTTCTAAACTCACTCTACTGAATAAATACCACTGAAAGAGAAAGGGGGAGGGGGATAAAGAGAGGCAGGGGGGATAAAAACAAACTGTCTTTGATTACATATCTCTTTATAGCTACTGTCCTCTTCCCCTGTTCTGCAGATCTCAATAATAAAATGCAAGCACGTGCACGCGTGCGCACACACACACACACACACACACACATTTCTTATCTATCATTCTTCATTCATCAAAATCGCTTTGGTTGCCAACTTCCAAAATGGTCCCCTATGATCCTTATATTGGCTACTATGCAGTCTCCATGTCCTTCCTGCTTTATATAGCGTTTGGTCTGTCTGCCTGATAGCATGTGGTAGAAGTGATGGTATGTCACTTCCAAGATTGGATTATAGATAATGCATTGTTTGTTGGGGATGTAAGTTCATTGTGGATGGCTTATTCTCTGAGAAGTCAGCTGCTACATTGTGAGAATGTTCTGGGGGCTTATGGGAAGCTACTCACATAATGAGAAACTGAAGAGCAAGCACATAAGTACCAAGGACATCCTGCAGATGGTCACATAAGTAAGCATGATATTGAACTCTTCTTTTTGGTTGAGGGGAGAGTAGGAAGTCATAGTTACAACAATTTTTAACCTTTTTTTTTATTGGTGCATCAGAGTTGTCCATAATGTGGAACTTGTTGTACAATATTAGTACATGAACACAATTTAACAATACAATGTGATCAATATTACTCCCAGCACTTCCCCTGGTCCTTGCCCTCCTCTCACCCTCTGGTCCTCTTCTTCTATTCTGCTGATGTCCCTTTGCTTTACATTAGACCCTACCACGACCACCACCCATACCCTCTTTTCCTTTTTCCTCTCTAGTTTCCACATATGAGAGACCCAGACCCTTGACCTTCTAAATTTGGCTTATTTTGCTTAATATACTGTTCTCAAGTTCTATCCATTTTCCTGCAAATGACATAATTTCATTTTTTGTTATGGCTGAATAAAACTCCATTATATATATATATATATATATATATATATATATATATATATATATATACCACATTTTTTAATCCTTTCATTGATTGGACATCAGACTTTTCTCAGACAACCTTCAGATGGCTGCAGCCCCAACCAAAGTCTAAATTGCAACCACATGAAGAATCCTGACCTGAACCATGTGGTTGAATTGTACTCATATACCTGATTCTCAGAAATTATGTGAAATAATAAACACCTTTTTAAAAAATTCATGGCTAAGATTTATTACAGTGAAATAGTACTAAGCAGAATCAGTACAAGAGAAACATACATAGGCAAGGTCTAGGGGTACTAACTTCCAACACCCACCCCAGTATAGTCACACAGAACACACTCAGTGTCCCCAGCAACAAAGAAATTCTCTGCTAGGGAAGCTCACCAAAGGCTCTGGGTCCAAGGTTTTTCTTGGGGATTGGTCACTTAGCTCATGTATCAAAATTCCTGATTTACAGAAGGGAAGTATCAAAGATATTTATTTACACAATTCAGACACAGCAAGTGCCTCTTACAGAGAACCTTACCCATTTCCACACCCAAATGCCAGCTATGACCAAGCCAGCAAGCAACGCTTTCTAGGGACAACCGTCTCTGACTTGCTGCGTTAGCTCTTTCTGTACACCATGCCCAAAACAAGACCAAACAATGGAAAATTTTCAGTTTTGTTTTTGACATGGTACAAACACTTGTTATTTAATCACTAGATTTTAAGATACTTTGTTATGCAACAATAGATATCAACATCTTCAGTCTTAACAAATGCAGTGATTATATGTCTTCAGCATATTTGGGACAGTTGATCCCTCTACTTGAAATGCTTTCATTCTTTCAAATCTCAGGACACCACAGTCTCCTAGTTTTCTTTCTACCTCATTTATCTGTCCTTATTCTTCGTTGCTGCATCCTCCTCCTGCCCTCCCTCTATAAAAGTCCAGGATGCTTAAGCTATTAATTTTTAAACCTCTTTTTGATCTACCCTTAATTCATAATCACATCACTCAGTCTCATGGTTTAATGTTATCTTAGGGCCAATGACTTGTGAATTTAAACCTCTAGTCCTGGTCTCACTGAACAACACATCTAACTACAATCACGATGTCTCCTATAGGCATCTAATATTTAAACTCAATACGCCTAAAGTAAATCCATTTCTTGCTAACAAATTATTCCTCAGTCTAGAATTTCATTTCAATTAACAGCACAAGAATTTATCCAATTAGTCAGGTCAAAAACCAGAGAGAGATCCTTGATTCTCTTTGCCTCCAAGACCATCCAAAGATGAATTGACCTCTTGAGCATAAACAACATTAGCATCACTGGGACACTCACAGGTTATGCAGAATCCTGGGTCTCCTGTGGACATAGTTAACCATTATCTGCATTTTGGTAAAAACTTCTAGTTAAATCATATGCACAATTATGCATGGAAAGCACTAACCTACAGGACTAAACTCCATCAATATAACCAATTATGTTCTGTAGAGCCCCTTAAGCTTCTTTTTAAGAGAAGGGATTTTTGTTTGCTTGCTTGCTTGCTTAATAAGTTTGAATAACACAGTATAGAGCATAATTCAGGTTTTCAAAATTTCTACAATAAAAAAGTATTAAATTCTGTTTAATACAGTCCCCACCCCATCAGCTAATTCATGGAAACCAGTAGTCTCCTCTGTTTCTTACTCTCCTATGTTACTTTCTTAGCCATTGTTCATTGACATTCATTGGAACTATTATTCCATTTCATTGAAAAGACAATGTATCTGATAGTTTCTCAAACACTATTGTTGGGTGTCAGCCTTTAAAATCACTGGTTCACTCATCCATTTAAGACATGCTGGCTGCTCTGCATAGCATGTACTCTGTGTAAGACAGTCTTCTATGTGTTGAGGCTACCACAATATGAGTCAAAACTCTTCCTATTAGGGAACATCCCTTGCATGGCTACAATAATGCTCAGCATGACTGAGACATGGTACAGTCATCTTCAGTCCCATGTAAAACAGAGGTTAAACCACAAAGCTCACTGCTGCTGACCATGCAGACCACAGGAAACAGTGATCAGGAATAATCTGGGGGGCATCAGTAACTACCACTCTCATCTTACCTTGAAGTAGTCAAGACTGGCTCTAAGATGACAGCATGCTCACCTCCTGCCCTTATAGCCTAGTCAAGCACCTGTGACTCTGCTCTCCTCCTTCTGAGCTTCTGCAGCTGGTCCTGATAACTCACATTAAATTTGGAATAGCATTAATGGGTCAAGAGTTTGAAAAAATTATCCCCCCTCCACAGGCTTGTCTCATGATGATGGTTGTTTAGGTCAATTAACAAATTTTGAGGTCTTTGTTACAAAAGTGTTTTCTCATTTATTTTCACTTGATTTCTCGATTGTTCAAGATTCTACTCCAGTATAATCACTTTCAAAGAAGTCGACTTTGAATTCCTACCCCAAACTTGTGCAGCATCTTTTCTACCTTGGTTATATTCATTTATCACATTAAATTGAAATCACCTATGTGTCTGTGTGTCCTTGATTATATCTTAAGCCTCTCAAACACACAAGTCCTCGTTTGTGCACCATTGTAGCATCATCCTCTGGTTCATTTCCTAGCTCATAGTTGGTATTCAGTAAGTATTTAGTGACCTAAGTCAAACAGCAAATATGTAAGTTGAAATAAGAAGTCCCTTGTGCATGCTTTTAGATGTACTTCAGGATTCTTATAGAATACTTCCTGGTTTCCTAGATCTCAGAGTAATAATTGAAGGTCAGTGTGGGTTAAGACCTACAGGTGCCAGGCAGGTGAGACACCAGGCAAGTGAGGTAAAGAGACAGTCAAGAGTGAGATGGAGTGGGCTAAAGTGGATCAAGTGTTGCCATATGTTCTGCTGTAAATTTAAAAACTTCACATGTGATATTAGAATAGCACATTGAGCATGTTTATACATTTTATCTGTTAATTATACTTCAATAAAGCTGGGAGAAAATTCTTAAAAAATATTTTAAATGTAAAGTTAACCTGTTTTTCAATGCTTCCTAATAGAGAACAAATAAGCTGGCAATCGTTTTGAAGCATTTATATGCAGTGCAGATACCTTTTCCTTTAAAAATATGTAATTTTCCAGCCAGGCATGGTAGTGCACACCTGTAATCCCAACTGAGACTGGGGCAAGAGGATCACAAGTTGGAGGTCAGCCTTGCAACATAGCTAGCTAGACCTTGTCTCCACACAAACACACTCACAAAGGGTGGGGTGGATATAGTATCTCACTTATCTCACTGGTAAAGCATAGATTCAATTCAATCCGTAAATCCCCAATACTACAAAAAAAAGAAAGAAAGAAAGAGAGAAAGAAAGAAGGAAAAAAAGAAAGCATTTCCCCATTTTTTTCAATAAATTTAAAATTCATTGTGGAATATCTAAAAACCTGAAGAGTCCAAAGATAGGTTGAAATGGAAAACACTCATAACCCCAACCATATTACACATATATAATATATATACCCACATATATATATAAAGTAAAATAAATACCAGTTTTAGATTATTCTACATTTTAAAAAATATTTTTAAAATTTTATTCAATTTTTTAAAATTAAGACAAAATAAACAACTCTTCTGTTATTAAATATGTATTAACTTATTTAATTAATATTTATTGATCATCTTGAATATACCAGGAACATAATATCACATTATTTAATTGTATCCCTTACTGTTATACGTATAAATTATTCCCATGCTTTGTCATTGTAAGTACTGAT